TTTTGCTTTTTTATTTTTAATGGCTACTCCTTTACTAAGTGTCTTTGTAATTTTAACATATAGGTAATACATACTTTGGACACAGCAATGAATTTGCTGTGCCCTACTTTCCCTTTCTCTAAGCAACACCTTTAGCCACACCACTTCACAATTAGTCCCAATGTCTGAGTGTCCCTAGTTGACTGATCATTAGTTCATTGACTGTCATTGATACTATGATAGTTAGAAGAAGCAAGGTCAATGTCTCCCTTAGGCTTATGCATTGAACACTTGTCCTCAGTGCTGGCACTGTTAAGAAAGACTATGGAACATTTATGTGCTTCCTTTGAGGGTTTATAGCCTATCCCACCCACCCTCTCTCATTCTCTCCTCCTTTCTCTCTCTCTTCTCTCACCTTCTGTCTCTATCTTTACCTCTATCTCTATCTCTATCTCTGTCATCTCTTCTGTATGTGAATAAATTTCATCAACCAGCTTTCTGTTTTCACAGTCTGCTGCCAGGCTTTCCCCTCCAGGATGAACTCTACCCTCTGGAATCTTAATCAAATATAAACTTATTATTTCTTAAATTACTTTTCTTCTGGTGTTTATTCAGCAACAAGAAAGTAACTGATACAGGTACCATGGCATTCATGATCAATTTTTCCACCCTTAGGTTGTAAGCTAACTTTAAGATTTGGTCAACTCAAAGTCTTCTTCTTTCTTTCCTCCTCCCCTTGCTCTTCTCACTCCCATTTTCTCCCTTCTTCTACTACTCCTGTTCCTCTCCCTGTGTCCCTCCTCTCTTCCTTTTTTCTTTATCCCTGTCTCCGTCCTCTCTCTGTGTATGTGGGTTGTGAGAGGGTGCTAACTATGAGACTAAAAGAAATAGGTCTCCAAGGATGTCTATCAAGCCCCTTTCTCTTTTCAACTCTTTATTCATAACCTGGGACCCTTATTACATGGGAAATTTTGATGTTAAGTACTTTCATGGGAAAGTTTGATGTTAAGTTCTTTCTTTCTCAACCAATGCTCTTTTGCAGAATCAAGAGAAAGACTAAACTAACTAAATACAATGCCACAGATCCTCAAAACTCCTCCTCAAAGCTTTCCTTTTGTTTGACCCTTTTATTGACAGATCAAATATTTGTCCATTCAACTACCTAATGCAGACATCAGAACATATTTTTTGAAGTGTGTGCCTCCCACAGCCCACTTTATTACAACACATTATACCTTGCTGGTTATTCTTTTTCCATGACTCACAGCATCTCCCCCTCTCCTATACATTCTTTGACAACATTTACTCCATTTTATTATAATTGCTATCATTTGCTGCAGGTTTGTTCCTTCTGGGCCCTGTCTACCCAGACCTGGTGAACCAACTTATAGTCCAATGTCTTAAATCTATGGTATTTTATACACTTAAGCACACTTATGTATACATATGGCCCATAATATTACCACTTTTAGTGAAGGCCCCAAATGCTACTGAAATAATATGTGTATCCTGCTTCAGTTGTATACAGTCAATAACGTTCATTGTTGATGGAGTCATTTTCTTCACTAATGGATTTATCTGTATGCAGTTGTTACTATATTTGTATTAATTTCTTGAGACTTTCACACATCTCTACAATGTATTTTGATTGTTTTACCCTAAATTTCTCTCTGTAACTTCTCCCAGATCCAGTCCCCACTCATGCCAAACTCCCAACTCCCCCTTACTGCTCCTCTTCCACCAATCCAATGTGTTCTGTCTATATGTCCACAGACTCGCAGCTGTGGGGACATCCACTCAAGTATGGTTGACTTACCAGAAACTAAATACTTAAGGAGAACCAACTACCCTTCATCCAGAAGCAGTCATCTGACAATAGCTCAGCAGCTAGGGGTGGGGGATCAAGGCTCTCATACTTTACACACTGAGCCTTTGATTGTCTTGCTCTTGTTTAGGTTTCCTGCAGGCAACCACAGCTGCTGTAAACCCATGATAATATCATGTGCAGAAAACATTGTTTGGCTTCAGTTATCTCCACATTATCACTCTTTGATCCCACCTCTCCTAAGATTACCCCTGAAACTTGTGAAGAGGGGTGTGATATAGTTGTCTCATCTGTGGATGAATATCCCACAAACACTTCTCTATACATTGGCCAGTTGTGTGTTTTTGTATTAATTTCCCTCTGCTGCACAAGGACATGTCGCTGACAAGATCTAAGAGCCGCACTAATCAAGGTTATATAGATTAAACATTCAGACAATAGTTTGATTCTATTTAGCAAGATGATATTAGTAGATTGACCCCATGGCTTGTGAGTTCTACAACCACAGAATCTTGTCCAGATTCATTGTGCTAGGCATGCATTTCACTCTGTGGAACCGTCCTCATATCCAATCAGAATGAGTTCATATCCACAAGCATATCTTGCCACGCAGGATATCATTCTGCCTCCAATGTTTACAGATCTAAAACCTATTTACTTTTCTCCTACAGCAGCCCATACAGCTATAGTACTTTGATAGCAGAGAATTTCCCCAGTCAGTACCAACTTTATTTCTCTGTATCCTATGAAAAGAATATGTGGTGTCTTTAATATTACAATTATACAATCAAGTTCTTCTGGTTTGCAACTGAGATCAGTGTCAATGATCTACAATATTTTGGAGGTCTCTGGAACCTCCAAACCAACAACTTAACTGAGCTTTTTATTTGGCAACTGGTAAATATTGGAGAAATATACTCTGTATAAGGTAGTATGGCAACTCAATTAAACACACATGCACACATATAAATACACATATGTGTTTATAAATATATATATGTATTTCTAGATATACATTTATATATTCTATATCTTTTATACATGTTTTATACACACATTACATATGTTCATACAGAAGTATCTGTATTTTGAGAAATGGCCACCAGGGGGCAGGAAGAACCAACTTATAAAGTTCATGCATCTTTTATTATTTTTTATCATACAACTTATCATTATATCTTCAGTTCTATTTTTTTATTATAAAGAATTGTTACAAAATATTTCCAAAGTTCAGGTGAAGTAGCTCCTGTATAGCTATCAACTTGTGCTCTCCATTGGATTTTCCCACCATAACCTGTAAATAATGAAAAATAAAACGTGTTTTCTAAACTGGCATTTATTAAATACACAAGCAAAATTAACCTAATGGCATCCAAATATTTTATGACTATCGTAGACATGATTGCACCATTTACATTTGTTATGTTGCTTGTATAGAGCAGAATATGCTGATTACTGAGTGGATAATTGAGCAGATATAAATGTGTGCATTTATGTCTACATAGTCATGTGTGCATTTGCATTATGTATATGTATGTGTATATATTTGTCTCCATCTGCCATGAGAACCTGGCAAAAGTTTTCAGTATGTTCACATAAACTACCTCATCAAAATCTGAGGTTTCAGTAGTTTCTTGTAAAGTATGCTTGTACATTTTTCAAGTATTTACATCTGTAGTGTTTATGTTCCTACTAAATTACTACCTAAGAAATCTGAAATGACCATTGAAAAAGAAGACATCACTAGATCAAACTAACATTTTATGAAATAACAGGAATCATTTGAAGAAAGAACATTATTTCTGCAGATTTATCAGCTGAAACTGTAAGTGGCTATGAGTAATAAAAGCTTATCAGGGAGAGTACTAATATTTGACACCTGAAAATGCATCGTCTTGCAAATGGGTACTTCCATGTTAATTTACATAAAGATCAAAAGCTACAAAAAAGTTTTCTGACAGTTAATGGCTTAACTTTGCAATTTTTACAAAGTACAGATAAATAAAGAGAACTGAAGAAGATGTAGAGTTTCCTCAGAACGTCTGCCATGAGTACTTGTGAAATTCAAACAGATGAACAGATATCTACCATCAGACAAATAAAAAATGTGGGTTGAATTTGCTGATGCTAGTAATAACGTAAAATTGTTGAATTCTGTCAGATTATTAATAAAGTTAAGGGTACAAAAATCCTAGCACTATAATCCTTAATTTTTGTAATCGTTTTAATTAATTCTCATGTTTTTTAAAATAGCTATTTATCTTTGCTTTTCTGGGTTGCTTTTCTGGTTCTTTCTAGCTGCTTCAGCTTGTGTTTTTAGGATTATTGTCCACTCAGTAAGACCTAAAATCACCTGGGAGACAGTCTTGTAGGCATTTCTTTGAGGGATATCTTGTGGGAAGGCCAATGGTTTTTGTTGTTGTCGTTTTGGTTTTTTTTAATTATAATTACATTTGTCCCTTCCTTTTCCTCCCTCAAAAATCTGTCCGTATACTCTTTGCTCTCTTTAAATTTCATGGCCTCTTTTATTAGTTATTACAGTCAATAATCTTCCAGAGATGTTTAACTGTTTAAGTTTTGGTACCGATTTTTTTTTTTTTTTTTTTTTTTTTTTTTTTTTTTTTTTTTTGAGACAGGGTTTCTCTGGGTAGCCCTGGCTGTCCTGGAACTCACTCTATAGACACCAGGCTGGCCTCGAACTCAGAAATCCACCTGCCTCTGCCTCCCAAGTGCTGGGATTAAAGGCGTGCGCCACCACCGCCCGGCAAGGTCCCGATTATTTTTAACTCCATAAAACACACCCGAAAATTATATTCATATCCTATCTCCACTATTAGTAACATGGCAATCTCCTCTAAGTAACACATGATTGCTAGGTTGAAAGACAGCTAATATATTCAAATCTATTTTTTTTCCAGCATACTAGGAACTAGCATCAGTGTAAAGCATATGATGTCCAGAAAATAAGCCTGCACCCTGGCCTGCTTGCACTGGACCTGGGCTTTAGGCAGGTTGCTAGGAGACAGATCTCCAAGGAGTCACAGAGGATTTAGGAGCGATGAAACACACAACTAAACCTAGTTGCGTGGGTCTTCTGAAAGATGGACTAAGCTACCAGCCAATCAGCGCACCTAGCGACCTCTCCATCAGCCAATTAGAGTGCCGGAACTCCAGCCAATCACGGCATTACCCTGAGCGCCCTGGCCTGCTCTCTGGCACCGCCTGTACAGTTTGGTTGCTGAGTCTTTGAGAGAAGGAGATCCATGCAAGAAATCCCTACAGTGGGCTTGGGTACCTGGAAGGTGAGGAGGCTCTCCCGTGTGGGACGGGCTAAGGGTCCGGGAACCTGATGAACATTTGCTCAGCAACAGTCAGGGTCGCGGGACTTCTTTTGCCTAGGGTGACTCCTTCCAGACCCAGGCTCTGACCAAGGTTTTCCCTCCAGACCTATTAGAGGAGAGTTTGGACTCTCTCTCATGTGATCCTAAAACACCTGCTCCCTGCGAGGTTGAAAAGCAGTTAGGCTAACTTTATATAAAGCAATATGATCTTAACTCAGTCTCGTGTGAGCTAATCACGGACCCCCAACCTCCAAAAAATCACTCGTGCCAAGTGGCACTTATCTTTGCACAGCAAAACCGAGTGTGTATGAAATGGCCACAAGGAAGAGTGCCACTGTGCATGCTAAAATAAACCAAATAAAAATAATTACATCGATGTAAGTGTAATGTCTGCTTCTTGAGTCCACTTAATGACAGTAGAGATATTTGCTAGTAGTTACACTGCTTGTTCAGTAGATTTGGTATGTTGGGCAAAATAAACAGGAAGTTGAGTAGATATGGAGCTAAGCCTACCTAACTCTGGGAAAAGTTAGGGGAGGGGGAAACGTGTTCAAAATATAGTTTTTGATAAAAAACAAGGTAAATTTAAATATTCTGTTTAGCAGAAAGTTTTTAAATAAATGTTTCTCCAGAATTTTTTTTAAATAGGTGAATTTTTTTTTTGGCAATTTGGTGATTTGAGTGTTCTTTGAAGCCACGTAGTGAGATGGAAAAAATGTCAATAAAATAACAACTAAATAAAAACGGGGGGGGGAGTATCACCTTCCCAATACAATGAAAACATTTAATTCTATCTCGAGAAGACACAGGCATATATCTTTCAAAAGATGTGGGAAGCGATGGAAAACCATAGCAAATGTGACATTGACTGGTGATCTTAAGTAACGTAGCTATGCTAGGTCTGTTGCTTTGACATAATAACCAAGTCAATTTTAGGACAAAGCAGGGAAGAGCTCAAATTCAAGGCTAGCTCGGGCTCCGATTTTCATAGTTAATGGAAATGTCTATATGTCTCATTAAGCTTGAATGTTTGTAAGCATTCAGGAAGCACAACACACAGCTCAGCCCTCTGCAAGGGCTGAAAAACACCGGTGATCCTTTGTCCAAGTGAGTAAAGAAACCAAAGCGAAATATTAACCACATTCTGACTCCAGCATTCCCTACCTTTAAGTCTGGCTGACGTTCCTATTGCTTTAATGATTTGAGTATTGATGTATTACTTGGCTATACATTCCCCAGTGACAAGGGAGAAGCAGAGTTGGGTCCTCCTGAGGGTAGAAGGTTTACTCTTGTTTGGTTATATTACAGGCCTTTCCAGGAGAAGTGACCGATGCCGTTAAGGTGGCAATCAACCTGGGCTACCGGCACTTTGATTGTGCTTACTTTTACCACAATGAGAGCGAAGTTGGACTGGGAATCAATGAGAAGATCAGGGAGGGCGTGGTGAGGAGAGATGAGCTGTTTGTCGTCAGTAAGGTAAGGCTTCTTGGCCTCTGTTTTCATAGTTAGTGGCAGATCTGGAATCATTTGGCCTGGAGGTATTTTTCAGTTTCCTTCTGGGAATTGCTTTTGGTTTGCAGTTGACTCTGCTCTAGTTTCGTGAACATGGGAGGTAACATTTTGTTTGCTCATGTCTTAGTTTTATTATTTGGCCATTCAGATGGACATGTGAGGACACACCACCAATCAACAGTACTTTCATGAGCACAAATCTTGGTTGAGTTGACAACACCTTTGTGTCTGTAGTGAACAAAATCAAGTCCAAGCCCTACACAGACAGGCCTATACTGGCTAACAGTGGTCAAAGGATATACTCCAAACTCCACACTAAGAAATTGATGCTGTGGTGATAGTTTTACAAACAGGAAGCAAGTCAATCATGTAGTATGCGTGAATACAGCAGGTGTTCTGGGAAGCAGAGGGACACTCCAGGAAGGGACAGGGACAGAACCAGCTGTGTTGTTGTCAGGTGCAAGTTTGTGGGATGGACCAATGGATGTGTGTCCTGTTCGTCTTAGACTGTAGCCTCACCTCTCTTCTGCAGCTGTGGTGCACCTACCACAAGAAGTCTTTGGTGAAAACAGCATGTATCAATACCCTGGCGGCCTTAAACTTGGATTACCTGGACCTCTACCTCATGCACTGGCCCATGGGTTTCAAGGTACCACTTAGTTTGTAGCTAGATTTCTGCAAAGACCTAGACAAATATCAGCATAGGAGAGGGCTTAGAAACAAAACATTTTCCATGTTTCATTATAGGAAATGTACTTATAAAATCCAATTAAAATTTGGAATGATTCGGGATTATTAAATGTATATTTTCTCATACGTGTCCTGTGATCTACTAGAAATGTATGATTAGACAAAAGAGAGGTGTCAACCCTTGTCGCTGCTGAGAAAAGTGACTAAGTCTTTACCTCTCAGGATGGCTTTCTCTATCCTCTATCCCCTAACTTTGTATTTGCAATTAACATTCAGCTTGATAGGAAGTTTTAGGAAGAAAACAATGAACCTAGTAGTATTGTTGGAATAAAGTTGTCCATTTTAAGACATGAAGGAAGCCCATTTTCCCTGATTTTTTAAAAAAACAATCTGAATCAGGCAAGGATTCAAATTTTTCTCAACTTCATGATGAGGTTTTGCTGGCCTTACCCTCCCTTTGTACTTGGTCTTAAGATGGCCCCTAAGGTCTGGAGAAGGGAAGTGGTACAACCAGGCCAGTAGGACTTAGTGACAGGGTCAAGGTGCAAATTCGCTGGCTCTGACTATTCATCTCCATTGTCTCCCTGTGTAGTCTTGTAATGGGGGATGACACAAACCCCAATAAGCTCCTTTTCTTCTGGTTCTCACAGCCTGGAGAAAAAGATATCCCTTTGGATCGAAGTGGCAAGGTCATACCCAGTCACACCAGCTTTCTGGACACTTGGCAGGTAAGTGGAGACATGCCAACGGGACGCTTTGCCCCTGCTCATGGTTAGTCAAAGCTCCACAGGATCTGGAGCTTCTGTGTTATAATACCCCAGGAAGGACTTCAGATATTTGGTTTGCAGTACATGGTGGTTAAATATTGATGGTCAGTGCGGCATGATCTAGAATGTTCCCATCAGCCTGTGGTAATGACTAACAACATTGTAGTCCTCACCTAGTTCCTGGAGGTTCTCTTTTGATTGTTATAAAACACAATGTTGGCAATATTGTGGAGCTCAAATTTGGAAGACAGGAAAAGGAAAATGTTAGAGGAAAGATAGCCAAGTGTCAAGATGCCCACAGTCCAGAAGAAACATGGTGAGCATTCATAGTGAAGTAAACAAGAAAAATCAGGAAGGGGGTGGGCTTGAAAGAGTCTCATGAAGGTGAAGAAGTAGGAACAGAGCAGATCAGGACACTGCCAACTCTAGTACCCTTGCTGCCCAGCTTCAGGAACAGAATAGTGGCACATTTGAACAAGTTCAAGTACAAACCAGCAAAGCTTAGAGAAGTTTCCATTGAGAAGATGTACTTCGGACCCATTCCTGTGAGATTGATGGGTAAAATTCTAGGAACGTTTCAGTGCCTTAGACAAGAGGGACTGAACAGACATGGAGAAGTCCCTGCACTGGGCAATGATATCTCTCTACCTGTCAAGCTGTAAAACATGAGAACTAGTCAGAAAGAAACTGAACAAAGTGTTTCTGAGGATTCCAGCCTTTGCTATCACTTTGCTCACCAAAGATCTAGGGTTTAAACCTGAGGCTCTGGATGGTACATTATTGGATGATTATTACAGAATCTTAATTCACTGGTTGCTGTCCTCAGGATCACTGGATACTTATGCCTAACCTCACACTGCCATGAAGCTCATGGATGCTCTAAAGCTGAGGCTTGAGGGCTCCCTTATGGGTCAGCCTAGATCAAATTGATTTGCTCTCCAGGAAATTGCACATTTCTTATGATGTGTGATGTGAGAGTGGGAAGTGAGAGCCCCTACCCATCACTGAGCTCAAGATGAATATCTAGGAGTACAGAAAAGTCAGCAAATAGAGGCAGCCATGGAGACAAGCACTGCACACACACACACACACACACACACACACACACACACACACACACCTCCATGGGCCACTGCAGACCATATCAGCACAGGAGCATGAAGAGACAAAATATGCTAACACTTGCTGAGATCCAGCCTTGGCTAAGTGCTTTGTGTGAATAATTCCATGAACGTTTAAGACAGCCCTAGTAGAGATAATATTGACCACATGACTTTGTAACTTCAACTAAAACACTTTTAAAGTTTTGAGACTCCATGGCAAGTCACAAAGGGACATGGCTTGTCAGGGAACTATACAACTTTTATGCTCAGCACATTTCTTTCTCTTTCAGGCCATGGAAGATCTGGTGATTCAGGGTCTGGTGAAGAACATTGGGGTGTCCAACTTTAACCATGAACAGCTTGAGAGACTTTTGAATAAGCCTGGTTTGAGACTCAGGCCAATAACGAACCAAGTGAGCTGGTGGATAATCAGGAGTCTTACTCAGGGTTGTCTTTTTCCTCTGTGTGGAGGTGGATGAGACATGTCACGTGCATTTATCTGAAGTAGCTATTAGAACTGTAATGAGGTAACAGGCAGGAATAACTGACCTAGTGGGCAAGTGTCTTTCTTTATATCCCATGTGGTTCGGTGATGCCGTGTGTGGATAGGGTATGACACAGATCTCTATTCTTGGCATGGCTTTGGAGGCAGATGACCAAGTGTGTTCAGAAGAGCAGGGTCCTCAAAGACCTTTCACCCTCTTTAGAGGAAAGCAGCCCTTCTGTTTCACTCACCTAGCCCATGCAAACTTCCAACAGAGGAGCTGGAAGGGATAACACTGCCTTCACCCAAGCAGGCAAGGTGTGGAAATAAATCTCCTCCTGCCCGCATCACACCCAAAACTTCATACAGTTTCTATATTTACTGGCCATAATTTGTCACCAAGTGTCTTAGTTGGGATTTTACTGCTGTGAACAGACACCATGACCAAGGCAACACTTACAAGGACGACATTTAATTGGGACTGGCTTATGGGTTCAGAGGTTCAGTCCATTATCATCAAGGTGGGAGCATGGCAGTGTCCAGGCAGGCATGATGCATGAGGAGCTGAGAATTCTACATCTTCATATGAAGGCTGCTAATAGAAGACTGCTTCCAGGCAGCTAGGATGAGATTTTATAACCCACACTCATAGTGACACACCTACTTCAACAGAGCCACACCTTCTAATCCTGCCACTCCCTGGACTGAGCATATACAAACCATCACACCAAGATTCAAGTGTAATGACTGTAGAGTATCTTATCCAAATTTGGTTTTAGGTGTAGCCCAAAACTGAGAACAGCCTAGGTGTCGGAAGTTTTTTCAATAACTATTTGTTGAATGAACAAAATTAGAGAATATCACGTGTGAGTGAGATCAACAAACCTTCAAAGGAGACTTCCCTGGAAGTTGATCTGGCTGGAAAGGCACCGCTCATATTTCTCTCCAGTTTTCTCTAAGTGAGCATCAATTATGAGTCTGTTTATAACCTGGAATTGTGCATGAGAAAAGTGGAGAAGACAGAAATAATTGCTCTCAAGGCTTGTGTTTGAAACTCAAATCCTGGCATCAAAAGATAGCTAATGCACAAACTAAATGTGCCAGGTGCTGGGTAGTAATGTAAGTAGCACAGAGGAGACTTGAAGGGCAGGGGAGGAGGGGTGAATTCATACTGTTCAGGCTGTTTCCTATGTGATGAAGAAAGCCACACTGAACAGGTTATGTTGGACTATCTGCATAACATAGGAGTCTGAGAGAAGCCTTTGTACCTAGTTATTAATGGTAAGGATGTCAAGTAAGTCTTCTCTTCAGTGCTTTTATAGAATGCTATTTGTCTGAATTATTTTGGTACACTGTGGTTCTGTTTGTAGATTGAATGCCACCCATATCTTAATCAAAAGAACCTGATTGATTTTTGTCATGAAAGAAATGTGTCCGTGACTGCTTACCGTCCCCTCGGTGGCTCAAGGTAAGGACATGTCAGAGACTGTGCTAATCTGGATGCTAACAGATATTTGAGAGTTGGGGAAGCTTCACTAAGAAGATATAGTGTGGGGAAAATTACTGGCCACAGCTGAGGAGTCCCAGTGGGTTTCCATGCTGTGGGGGGTCCCACATGCAGGAGGAACATTTGTGGTTCCAGCAGCCTGGAGGCTTTGGTGGCGGCAGGCCCCAATAAGGGCCAAAAAGGAAGTCCTTGGTTCCAAAAGGGTTTATTGTCATGGCAGATGGTGGATGGATTTGGATATAACCCCGTAAAACTCAGGGCAGTCCCGAGTTAAATAGGAAGAGAGAAAGGGGGAGGATTGGGAGAGGATGGGGGAGGATCTGGGGAGGCATACTTAATTTGCTCCGCCCTCTGGCCTTCATTAGTATGTAAATCCCTAGGCCCTGAGGCCTAGTCACACCCTCTACCTGTGCACTTTGGGAGGGGCTGTAATGACCGGCCTACGTGACTGAGTTTTAAGGAGACTAGAGTGCTTTCAGGACCCTGGGTTCTTGGGGCAAACTGAACTCCTGCCGGTTCTCACACAGAGTCTCAGGGTTCTAGGCAACTGCCCAACCATGACCCAGAATACCCTTACAAAGTCCCACAGTATAGAGAGTTAGAAAGGGCTGCCCACATCTCTCAGCCCCAGGGTGAATATAGGGAGCTATTTCTCAAACTGGAGAGTTGTTTTAATCAAGCTTCCCTCCGTGGGTAACCAGCTTTGACTAGACTCAGCCTGAAGTGAACCTTTGGCTGATCTTCCTGGTAGGTCATCAGTCAGCTACTATCCCTTAATCTCAAGGCATGTCACAATGCTAAACTCTCATATCTTCTTTAGCTGGACCTGAGCTTTGTACCATTCTCCTAGTGAGCCACCTAAGGCAGAACTGTGGAAACCATCCATTTCCCATACCCTCAACTCCAATCCAACATGAAGATCAATAACTTATTGTGCTAGTAGAACCTAGGGCCTGTCCTTTGGTCTGTGTTGCTATCCTCTCTACGTTAATGGAGTGCAGATCACTTAAGGTTCTCAGTCCCATAACTCCCATTGGATAGCCTGTTCCTTTGTGTTTCTCAGCCTCTAGCTGAAGCAATCTCCTTCCTGAGCCTGTGTGGTGGCTCCGCCTTCCTCTGGTCACTCCTCCTGCATCCCTGCCAACCATTAGCACATCAATCACATGAAACAACTCATGATCACTTGGATAGAATATTATTTCTAGTCTCAGCAGCCATATATACTATGCTTTTTACTAAGACTCACTCTTTGGTTTTCTTTTTCCTGAGTCCACCAATTCTTGTTTGTGATGTCATGTTCAGTTTGGCACTGTGCCCTCCAGGAAGGTTCCACAAGTCTGTTTTGTAGTTGGGGCACTTGAGCATGCCATAGCATCTCTTTCTCTACCAGGGAGCTTTGTATTGTCTGACACTGACATTACTTAAAATGCAGAAACTTTCTCTTCTCAGTCTGTTCTGAGCCTCACACTCAGTTCGAGGAAACCATTAGGAAGCCAGGGAAAGCGGCCCTTGCTTTATTTTTTGTGTCTGTTTATTCTCTAAGATATAGGGAGTGTATATTTGAATATGGTAGCATCTGGTAAGCTCCTAGAAGTCGGGGGCATATTTTACAGCTGAGTCTTTGGGACAAAGGGTCGCTGATAGAGTAAGTGAGCAGTGTATGGCAAGATAAAACCTGCTCAGTCTGGTTCTTTCAGAACACATTGAGTACTGTGACTAGCTCAATGCTTTAAATCTGCTAGCTGCTTAAAAAGAGATGTTTTGCTGGGTTCAGTCCCTTGTGTTATGTGAACAGATTGTGGTAGTGCACACTTATAAACGAAGCACTTTGGAGAGACAGAAAGATCAGAAGTTCAACATCGTTCTCTGGCTACATTAGAAACTCAAAGCCAGACATGATACCCTGTTTAAAATAAAATAAAACTGCTAACTTTAGTCACTAGGCCCCTTGCCTGGATAGATTTTTGGTGGATACTATCATAGTCTTAAAAATCTCTTGTAGTGGAAGTTGTTACTATAAGAAAATAGCAAGTCTTACCCAGGCCTATTGATACCCACCAGTAATCTCAGGAGAGACACAGGCACCAGGACTGAATTTGAAGCCACCCAGGGCTACTAAGTGAGTTACCTCAAAAAATCAAAAATAGTAAGTGTATTGGCTGGTTTTGTGTGTCAACTTGACCCAAGTTGGAGTTATCACAGAGAAGGGAGTTTCCCTTGAGCAAAGGCCTTAATGAGATCCAGCTGTAAGGCATTTTCTCAATTAGTGATCGAGGGTTGGAGAGCCCATTGTGGGTGGTGCCATCCCTGGGCTGGTAGTCCTGGATTCTATAAGAAAACAAGCTGAGCAAGCCAGGGGAAGCAAGCCAGTAAGTAACATCCTTCCATGGCCTCTGCATCAGCTCCTGCTTCCTGATCGCTTGAGTTCCAGTCCTGAATTCCTTTGGTAATAAACAGCAATGTGGAAGTGTAAGCTGAGTAAACCCTTTCCTCCCCAACTTGCTTCTTGGTCATGATGTTTTGTGCAGGAATAGAATCCCTAAGAAAATAAGTAAATAAAATAAATTAAAGACTAGTAAAGTTTTCATTTTAGAGGAGAGTAATTTCTTTAGCACGTGTGTTGATCAACCTCCTGACACGGCACACTCTGCTCTGTCTGTCTAGAGATGGGGTTCACTTAATGGATGATATGGTCGTTCGGAAGATTGCAAAGAGGCTTGGGAAGTCTCCTGCTCAGGTATGTGGAAAGGACTGTCATGTGCTAGCATCACACAGTCCTGAGCCTAGACGAGTTGATTCACCGGAACTTTCCAATTTGGAGCCATGATTAGTGGATTCCATGTTCGCATCCAGTCAAGCCACGTATACTGCCTTCCTCTAATGTCAACAGTCAAGATACACTCCAGTGTCACTTCCTCTGCCCCGTCAACTGCATGGACAACCAGTGTTGGAGGCCAGTGGTTAAAGTTAACCTTGTCAAATGCCTTGGTCATCTGGGGAATTGGACACATGCTGAGGGATTCTAGGGAAAGGGGTGGGTGAGTCCTCTGATTTCTTGGGCTGATGGCCTTCATTACAGATAGATTAATAAAGCATATTAGTTTGATCCCTAAAGGGCTTTGAGATGAAAGAGACTTTTTAGCTCTTACCATACAATGAAACTGAAATATTATACTGCCTTAGCTTTGATTCCATTTGTTTTATTGCTATATGAAACTTTCTTTCCTATAGATTTTGATCCGATTTCAGATCCAAAGGAATGTGATAGTGATTCCTAAATCTGTCAACCCAAGTCGGATTAGAGAGAATATCCAGGTAGGCATTTCCTGATTAGAACTTCTCAGATCCTGACTTAGTGAGGCCTGGCTAACTTCCCTAAAGATATCTTTATGGCTTTCACCTGACAAAGGTGTGTTCCTCTGTAAACTGTGCTGGTGGTCAGGCTTTCACAGAGAGTCAGGAAAGGCTCTCACTATTTTGTGTCCCCTCCCCACCAACTCCCCTAGAGGTGGCTGTCTCTGTGCCACGCTGACTCTAACAGAAGGTGGATATGCCGAGTATGTGCTCAGGAGGAAGGAATACAGAGTTGGTGAACATCTAGCCAGTCTGGGCCACATGGGGAATGCCCACTGATCTCTTGAGGGCAGTAGCTCTGGATGTTATGTTCCTTACTTTGGCCTAGTAACATTTAAGAGTTGGTGAATGCACTGGAAATCTTATTTAACTAGAATATACACAAAATATGAATTGGGAGCAGCCTTTCAAAGACAGTCTTTTAAAACTCAACCAAGAATCACAACAGAAACGGGATCTGATACCAGGGACAGAGAATTGTGTCAGTGTATGAGAGGCTCAAAAGGGTGCCAGTTGTGGTGACTACGAGATACTGTTGTTATTGGAAACATTGATCATAGTCCTCAAGTGTGTCAGAGGAGCAAAGGACAGAAGAGTCAAGAATTCTACTTGAAAGTAAAGTTCCTCAAAATGTTCTTGTGTGATTTCGATGCTGCTAGAGTCAATACCAGCTGGCTTTCTAGTTGATGGGGTAGGAGGAACAATGGTTTTTCTTTTTAAAGGGAAGACGTAGGTCAGTGGAAGAAACACTTGGCTTTTTAAACTTTTCCCCTATGTTCCGAATCTCCATAAGATAAAAACAATATATTGCTCATCTTTCCAAGGTTTCTTGAGACTAAGCCAGTGTCAGCCAAGGGATGAAAATCATGCATTTTGGGAGGTTTGCTTATGCTTCAGGGGAAGTGCTAAGTGTCTAATGAAGAACTTCTTTCACATCTTAGTGTCAAGGGAAAACAGATGCCAGTTAAATGGGGTTTCCTCTGAATTCTCTATGATCACCTGATTTTGCTTCTAGGTATTTGATTTTGAATTAACTGAGAAAGATATGGAGGAACTCCTCAGCCTCGACAAGAACCTCCGCTTGGCCACATTCCCCACGTAAGTCTGTCCCCTTCACATCCTTTTAAAGAGAGAGAGAGCTATACATGAGCAGGTGAACTGGTTCCTGAATAGGTATTTACTGTTGTATTTTAAGCTTAATTAAACTGTATTGTGACTCTTTCCTGTCTAAAGCTGGGCCATTGAATAAAGACAGTGACATTTGTATACTAGAGTGGCACAACTCTTCCACTTACAATGTTTTCTTTAAAAAATGCCTGCTCTTTTGTTTCTCTCTTTAATTTGTGATTCTGTTTTCCAGAACTGAAAATCACAAGGACTATCCTTTCCACATAGAGTACTGAAGGCAGCTTCACTGGCCGTCATCTGTGCTCAGCAAAAACAGATCACCAAGGTCGGCAGCATTGATCCAGCCCTGCAGAGGCTGTGTGGTCCCTGTGTGGCCACAGCACTACACGCATCCACAGCCAAGAATGACAACAGAGTCGGAACAAGGAAAATCCTACTTAGAACAAGACCAGTTCAGAGAAAAATAAAGATCTAGGGATGAGAAAGGGAAGTACCACAAGGGATATGCCTGCTTCCAAGTTGTTAGGGATAGCCAAGCGCAGAGAATAATGTAATTTATATCAGTTAGTCCTAGTCTTTATGGCTTCTATTTTCAGAAGTGAGATGCTGATTGCTCACGAATTAAAATTATCTTCACCTTTTAAGAAAACTTGCTTGACAGAAGTGTTTGACTAACGTGTAAGATTTGAGATGTTAATACAATTAATTAATATCCATGACTTGGGTTCAATAACCACCAGCCTGAGGCCAATTGTGTGCTCTGCCCTCCCAGAATTTTCTAGATGATTTCAAAGCAAAATCTTCCTGCACTTAAGAATAAAAGGCCATCAAGCTGAGGCCCCAGCTCAGACAAAATGTGTTTTTATTTTTCTTACTTAAAAACTTTTGAGAGAGAGGGGTGGAAGGAATGTGTGTGCATCTTCACATATGTATGCGGGTGAATGTGTGTGTGCATGCTTATGGAGCCTCACTTCTAAAAAGAAGAGAAGGAATCTCCTTGTCTGGGTCCCAGAAAGAGATCCGTTGCAAAAAGACATTTGCTTCTGATGCAAGAACCTTATGTGAAACTGGTCAACGTGGTGTGGGTGGAAATGGATGTCCAGGTAGGCTATCTACAAAGGCCACTGAAAATGTATCACCTGCATTTCATTAAGCAAACCCTGTAGTTCAGCCCCACTACAATGAACGTTTATTTTCCCATATTCATAACTCCTTACGATTAATTAATTCTGTGACTATATGAAATTTAGTTAGCTCTTAAACCTTGAATTTTTCTTAAAAATGGTATTTTTAAGAGTTTAAAAATGTACACATAAAGTACTGGACATAATCATTAGCAAGTAAAAGCCTCTGTGTGGGTGCATATGAGTAGACCTGGAAGTTACATATTATTGAATCTCCAAGAATCTAATCATGACATATCTAACCATAATATTTTGCATAGCTCTGGTTACTTATATAAAAAAACACTGCCAATTTGGAAAGTGTTCTTAATCATAATTCGCATTGCGTGAATCATTACTTCTTATCCTACTGCCACATGAATCAGGATGGAATTCCACAAGAATGATGGTCAAATGAACTTGTGACAGCTCCATAAGAGCAGGGATATGACTGTGTCTGTCCGTTTCTCAGCCCTCATCCTGGCAACCCAAGCATGAGGCTGACATATGGCTGGTGCTCAACAGTGATTTGCTGGGTTGATATGCAATCACCTCTACCAAGGAAGGACAGAAAGCACAGTAGGGGTAGCCCAGTCTTTGGAGCTAGACAGACCTAGACCTTAACCTTCCAGCCACCTTAGCTTCAGACTATGCTGTCTTTCTCACCCAAGCCCTTCATCGCAGCACCTCAGAGAGCTCTTAGGAAGTAACACACATAGCCTTTAGTCAGCAAAGGCAGACATTTCTTTTTTTTCAGTTCACAAACACTTACTTAGCACTCAACTATAGGCAAGATGCTGTTCAAGCATAGTGGGCAATCCCATGTCCTAATGGCTTTTGTTAAATTTTGTGACAATTCTTTGAAGTTGGGTCTATGTAACACCCTTCTTTCCAGCTTCAGGCTTTGAAGTATAAAAGAACTAAGACAACTTGCCCAAAGCCTGAGACAAACCCTCAAAAAACAAAAGCAAAAAACAAAACCAACCAAACAACAACAAAAAAAAGGTAGTTTCTCAGTCTCAAAGAAAAAGGCTCCAGTGGATGTGCTGGCAAAATAAGTGCAAGCAAGCAAGGGACAAATGGATCCTTCTTCCATTTTCCTTATATATGCCTCCAGGCAGAAAGTGTGGCTCACATTAAAGGTGTGCCTCAAGATCTAGAATAAAGACATGTGTAATCTCTTTTCAAGATCTGGTTCAAAACCCTTTGTCTTCCAGCCTCAAGATCCAGATCTAAAGCATGTTGTCTTTCTGAGATCTGGATCACAGATGTGCCCTATATTTCTGGATTGTAGTTCATTCCAGATACAGTCAGACTGAAAACCAAGAATAGCCATCACACTCATACATAAAGCAAGTCTCAACAGATATAAGAAAACTGAAATAACTCCTTGCATCCTACAGACCATAATTAATTAAAGCTGGACATCAGTAACTGTAGAAAGCTTACAAACTCATAGAAATTGAACAACCCTCTACTTAATAAAAAATGGATTAAGATAGAAATAAGAAATGGAATTAAAGACTTTAGAATTGAATAAAGGGTGATACACAGGAGACAATTTTCTGAACAGACCATTAATAGTGCAGGCACTAAGATTAACAATTAATAAATGGGACCTCATGAAACTGAGAAGCTTCTATAAGGCAAAGGACACCACCAATAGGAAAAATTGGCAGCCCGCAGAATGGGAAAAGATTTTTACTAATTCCATATCTGACAGAGGACTAATAAGCAAAATATAAAGAACTCAAGACACTAGATATCAACAAACCAAATAATCAAATTTTAAAATGTAGTATATCCTCCCTCTTGACCTCCTTAATACCTAGTTTCTTTGGCACTGTAAATTGTAGCATGGTTGTCCTGCACTTTATGACTAATGTGTACTTATAAGTGAGTACATACCAAGCATATATTTCTGACTCTGGGTCACTTCACTCAGAAAGATAATCTCAAGTTCCATACATTTGCCTGCAAAATTCACGATGTCTTTGTTTTTCATAGCTGAATAGCATTTCATTGTGCAGGTGTATCGCACTTTCTTCATCCATTCTTCATTTGAGCAACACCTAGGTTGTTTCCAGTTTCTGGCTATTAAAAACAAAGCTGCTATGAACATTGAGCAAGTGTCCCTGTGGTTTAAACATCTTTTGGGGGTATATGCTCAGGAGTGACTGTACAAGTTTGCACTCCCAATAGCAATGGAAGAGTGTTACCCTTGCTCTACATTCTTGCCAACATGTGCTGTCACTTGAATTTTTCATCTTAGCTATTCTGATAGGTGTAAAATGGATTCTCATGGTTGTTTTGATTTGCATTTCCCTGATGACTAAGGACATTGTACATTTCTTCTTTCTATTAATTTATTTATTCATTTGCTTTATGTCTCAATATCAGCCCCCTCTCTCCTCCTAGTACCTTCTCACACAGATCCTCATCCCATTTCCTCCTCCCCTCTTCTCTCAGATGGGGAGCCCCCCTATGTATCCCACTCACCCCCCCAGGTTTATCAAGTCCCTGAAGGACTAGGTGCAAGAAGACATGAATACTTGGGGCTTCCAGAGACTGAACAGTCAACCAAAGAATGAGCATGGACTATACCTAGACCACTCACACCTATGTAGCTGAAGGACAGCTTGATTTTCATGCAGGTTCCCCCAACAACTAAAGCAGGGCTGTCCTTGAATGTATGGTCTGCTTCTTATGGATCCAATTCCCCTAACTGAAGACTCTGTTTAGCTCTGTACCCCATTTTAATTGGGTTACTGTATTTACTGATGTCTAATTTCTTGTGCTATGTGGTTGTGTGTGTGTGTGTGTGTGTGTGTGCATGTAGATTTCCCCCCAATCTTTAGCATGCCATTTTGTCCTAGTGATAGTGTTTGGTTTTACAAAAGCTTTTTAGTTCCATGAGTTCCCATTTATCAATTGTTGATCTTAGAGCTGAGCCATTGGTATTCTCTTCAGGAAGTTGTCTTCTGTACCAATGAGTTTAAGGCTATTCTCCACTTTCTATTCTGTTAGATTTAGTGTACCAACTTAATGTTGAGGCCTTTGATCCATGTGGACTTGAGCTTTGTGCAGGGTGATAAATATAAATCTATTTGCTTTTTTCTACATGCAGATATTCAGTTAGACTAGCACCATTAATTAGTCATCAGAGGTGGATAGAGATGGAACTGAGTAGGAGCGGAGGTAAAGTGGGGAACATGGATAGGGTTCAGGTGTGGGGAAAGGGGGCGTAATGAGGCTGAGAGTGAGAATGGGAATTGGTGGGTCACATCTCTTGTGACTAGCTGAAGGCCTGGGGATGGGAAAGATACAGGGAGTCTATGGGGGTATCCATAGCTGAGATACCTACCTGAAGGGGATATAAAGACTAATGTGGTCACCTCCTGTAGCCAGGAAAAACTTCCAGAGGAGGGAGAAGAACATCAATCCACCCAAAAATCCTTCAACCCAAAATATGTCTTGTCTATCTTGTGCAGGGATAAAGATAGAGAACAGAGACTGAGGGAACATTCAACTACTGACTGGCCCAACTTGAGACCCATTCCATGAGAGAGATTAATGATACTTTGAAATACTTGAAGAGAGCAACCTGGCATAACTGCTTCCTGAGAAGCTTTATCCAGCAGCAGATCGATACAGATACAGAGACCCACCAGTCAAACATCAGGAGGAGCTCAGGGGGTCTTGTGGAAGAGTAGGGGATAGAAGTGAGCAAGTCAAGTGGGTCCAGGACACCACAGAAAGACCCAGAGAGTCAACTAACTTGGGACCATGGGGTCTCACAGAGCCTGGGCCAACAAACAGGGAACATTCAGGAGTTTGACCTAAATCACCTATACATTTGTAGCAAATGTGCAGTTTGGTCTTCGTTTGGTCCCCTAACAAGTGGAGCAGGGGCAGTATTGGTCTCTGTTCCTTGTCATTGGATCCCCTTCCTCCTACCTGAACTGCCTGGTTGGGCCTTAATGGGAGAAGATATGATTAGTCCTACTGAGACTAGGTGTCCCAGGGTGGGGTAGTACCCAAAAAGAAGGTCCCCATTTCTGAGGAGAAGTGAAGGGGGAAATGGGGGAAGTATTTGTACATGTGAGATTGGAAGGAAGGGGGATGGCTATGATCAGGATATAAAGTGAATAAAATAGAAAAATAGGATACATATCTAAATAGAGAGTTCTCAACAGAGGAATATCAAATGGCTGAGAAACACTTGAAATGTTCAAAATCCTTAGTAATTAAGGAAATGCAAATCAAAACTTCTTGGAAATTCTATCTTATACCTATCAGAATGGCTAAGATCAAAAGCTCAAGTGAAAACTCACACTGGCAAGGATGAGGAGCAAGGTGAACACTCCTCCATTGTTAGCAGAAGTGCAAACTTGTACAGCCACTTTGGAAATCAATATGGCAGTTCCTCAGAAAATTAGGATTTGATTTACCTCGAGACCCAACTATTCCAGACCCAGGCATATACAAAGGATAGCCCATCCTACCACAAAGACACTTGCTCGACTATGTTCATAGCAGCATTATTCATTATATCCAGAAACTGGAAACAACCTAGATGTCCCTCAACAAAAAAAATGAACAAAAAAATTGTGATACATATAGACAATGGTATATTACTTGGCTGTTTCTTTTTTTGATTTTTCAAAAATGGCATCATGAAATTTGCAGGCC